GAGTTCTCTATTTAGTTGCATCAGAATAAGCTGCTAAAGAATAAGGTCAAATTTTGATTGCGGGAGAATTCCGTTCATGAAAACTACATAAAGATAATTTTATTTAATTATTAGTGTTGACACTATAGCTTGAAAAAGAGCAGTCAACAGCAAAATAAGAGGAGGGTATGGATATTTTTGGTCTTGGGTCATTTGCATGATGCCCTCACCGAGTTGTTTATCTTCAGTCCCCACTTGCACTAAGTAGAAGTATGGCCAGCACGCCCTGAAATCAACAATTATACAACATGATCCACTTCAATTTGAAATTAGCGCTCATAAAAGTAGCACTTAACATATGCTAAACCAATAATCCAATATAATATAATATCAAGAATTAAATATTCACAAAAGTAATTATATAACAATAAAGTGTGATTTTCACTTCTCTTTGTATCTAGCTGTCACTGTATTGAAAATGAGTAAAAGAATAAATGAACAACATAAGTAGATATTGTTTGAAAGACAATGCTCGAGTGCTGCTAGGTGGTGCATTATCTTTCTTCCATTGTAATTTACTGATCAAACCACCTAAGATGGTTATTGGGTAGACACAGACAAACACATAGTGGATCCATTAATTCCTTGATTGGTAAGGCAATGAAATTCAACTTGCGAAGGCAGCGAGACACGTTTGATTGATTATAATGGGTGATTTATATCAGCATCATCAATGGGAATTTTGAAGCTTCCTAATTATTTCAACCATGCTGTTAAATTTGTTGGAAACCCGAAATCCACTATAATTATCTTTTTTGGGCAAGGGGGGCATTGCCCATGGGTTGTTCTATTTCAAAAACACTGTGGGCTTTCAGTATTTCTTCCTAATCCCTTGTGGCTAAAATGGACCAAGAAAAAAAGGTAACTGGCTAAAGACCAAAGAAAAGAAAAACCAAACCTGTATGAATAACAAAAAACCCACCAACTGTTGCGCTCCTGTTTCCTGGGGTTAAAAAATAAAGGCCCGGCCTGAGGGTGACAGCCTAACAAAGCAAATAAAAAAGTGTGACATTATTAATGAAATAAACAATTAAATAATAAATACATTAACATTAAAAGAATTAAATTAAAAAATGTTAAATAAATTATTTCCAATCGCTTCATTCTCCACCAAGATTGTTTATGCCGTTAACCTGTATTAAAAGCTCAAATAAAATTTGTGTTTTTTTTCGGTCTTGAAATCTAATTCTTGTTAGAAACCTATGTTCTTCAATTACATAAAACCAAACATGAACCCATGTCCAAATGTCCCAAACTAAAGCTACCTGCCAAGCACCACGCTGGTGGAAACTGAGGATCCAACTCTAATCGCTTATCCAAGCCACCAAATGACTTTTGTTTGGCACTATGTAAAAGTTCAGTTAATTAGATGAAATTGACTTTTGTTGGGACCATGGAAAGTTCAATTCTGGCTGGTAATTTTAAAATTTCTTAAAATGAAACTCTGTTCCTCTTTCCACTAGTTGAATCCTTTTTGTTCTTGAATTCATTCTACAATTACCATACCGACTAAGGTTATTGGTTCTTAAATGAACTGATTCTTACAAACTTTTTTGTCCTGATTTTAGTTTTTGTTTATTTATTATTAATTCAATCACTTTAACATTGTTTCAGTCAGTTTTTAAAATTTGATTATTTATTTCATTAATGATATTGTAATTTACTACATTTATGATTGATCTATTTTAAAATGAGCCGATGTTCTATTGAGATAAAAACTTATTATTACTCTTTCCTTTTCTTGTTTAGGCCGATAAATTCATTTCCAGCAAATTTAACACACTACTTTCTTCTTTACCGAAAGAGCTAACCCCAAAAAAACAGTATTTCACTCCATACAATATGTCGAATTCGGTTTGCAACTTCGCATGCTTGAAAGCATAAAACAGTGCCTCTGACTTCTTAAGACATAATCAAGACAAACATATCATCAACATAAATTTTGGATTAAACCTAATATCGAAAATTTTATAAATGAGTCTTTTCATTCAAACAAACACTGATTATTTCTCACTAAATAGAATGAAAATATTTAGAAAAAAAAAGGAGAGATTTTCAAACAGTGAAAGAAAATTCGAGTCGAAGATAATTATACTTTTTTATATAAAATTAACAATGCAGGATAATTTTTTAAAACATTATATGAAAATACTAAATGATTAATATTTGAAAAAAATAGAAGGAATTATGTTAACGTGGCCAGGCAATTTTGAGTTATTTGGATGTTATATTAAAATATTATGACATACTGCAAGATCGCTCATTCAATAAAGTGCAATGTGTTTATATCATAAAAAGCCTTAACACTATTTTGTAAACTATGAAGCGAAAGGGATATAACTTACCTGGGGTTGGGTATTATATTACCCTGTCATCTTGCATTCAATAAAATATCTAAGCACTGAGACTCGATAGAATATGATAGATTCTCATTCCATGATACCAACAAAGACATCTTTGTCCAATTGAAAATGATGTGTTTGTTATTAAATGGAAAATAATAGTAATTTGTAATGTCTCTTTACTTTTATGAACTGAAAATGGAAGGGGAACCTTGACAAGGCGATTAAAGCAAATCACCAAATATTTGGCGTGCCCTGAATCGGATGATTTGGTTACACTTACAATCAAAACCTGACTGCACCTAATATGTGGGGGAATTCATAAGCCTAACCAGATAACCTACAAGACCTAACAATGGAGTATCCTTATTTATTTCTATTTTGTTATGAGTTTTCTCTCTCTATATTTCACCAATTATTGTCTAATTTTGTGACTCCCATCAATACAGACACAGAGAAATAATATAACACCATCAATCTTACAAAATTAGTCAATATAACTAATAGAAACATTCATTCATTTGTTTAAAACCTTTTCAAAATGATCCTTTTCTACACAATTTGAAAGTTTAGAAGTGCATATGTTGCTACTACATTTTTTATAGGAACAACTTCACTATATGACTTCTTTCGTTGTTTGAGAAAATTTGTTCTATATTTTATCCAGTTCCACCTTTTTCAATAATTATTTAATAACAAATTTATAAACAAAGAATAAATTGTCATTCACATTTTTTCATGTTTTTTCTTTTATTTTCTAATTCATTCTATTACGAACAAAAACATACAGTGTACCGTATGTAGTATACGACAAACAACCTGAAAAGAAAAGAGAAAATCCAAAAGCACAGTATCTATCATTTCAATCTCATTTCTCGTATTTCTTCTCTCTTCGAAATTTATAAAGCTTTTTTTAAAATTATCGTTATAGCTTATAAACATTAAATTAGATATATCGTCATATAGTTCCTCAATTGTTTATATATATTCCCGTTCCACCTTTTAGATTTTTTTAAAAAAATTTTCTCAGCACAACAGTAACTTAGTATTTATCATTTGATTAAAATATATTAATATTGTACAAAAAAGAGTATACATACATTTAATCATAAATTATCATATATTTTAAATTTATTAATTTTTATAATAAAAATTTTAATTAGTGAATAATATAAAATTTGTATACTGATAGTCTATATAAAAAAGACTCATATTTATAAGGAAGAAATATATTTTCTTTAAAAATAATATTAGATATTTAATTTTCTTATTTTTTTACAGCACAAATTTTATAAAGTTAATTATTAAATGACGTGATATTTATATGTCAAATTTTAGATTAAATTAAATATGTAATTTTATATTTAATATTCCTTTATACTTTAAAAACTACATTATATATTAAAATAAAGAAGTTAAACAAAATATTATTTGATTTTAAAATTATTAAAAATTACAAATTTTATTTACTGAAAGTTTAATTGTGATGCACTCTGAGCATACAAAACTTAATCTTATCAAACAATTAAGATGTATTAAGTACAACTTTTAAAATAATTATCATGCAAATTAATGATGATATGTGAATATATAATTAGATAAAATATAAGAATAATGTATGCTAAATAAATTCATATGCTTAATTAAAAAATTTAAATTAATCATTAGATTAATAAAATTTATTTTTTTTAATAGAGAAAATACAGTGGTCTCGTGCATGGTTCTTTATCTCAATGTTATAACAAATTAATATCATTTGAAATATTGATTTTGATGAAATTACTTATAAAAAATCAATTGAGCTCGTTTCCCTTTCATTTGATCAACACATAATAGTAATGCATGAACTAAAAAAAAAGGTATCACTTTTTGAAAAATCATGCGTGGTATAAAAAATAGATTGCAAATTCTACCGGTAAAAGGAATTTGTTCACTCGTTTATCTTTCCAATTTATTATTTCAAACGAATAAGCACAACTATATTTAATTAAAAAATAGAATAGAATTATATGAAATTAGATTGAAAACAGCATGTTATATTGTATTTCTTAGTAATTAAACATTATTTTAACACAATGGTATACCCAAGGATATACATAGCAAACGGTCAGAATTAGAGATTATTTTCTTAAACATAAAAATAATTAAACAATGTTTTACATCATACAATTAATTCAAGTATTTTAATGCATACAACCAGGAATTAAAACATGAATAGCATATCTAACGAATTCAACTACTTACCAACTATAAAGCTTTTCTCACATTGTTTTCGTAATTTTTTTAGAAGTGGTAGTTTTTAAAGGCCGAGGACACACACTTAAAGTAAATAATTTTGTACTAAAAGAATTATTTAGCATTTTAAGAATATAAAAAGGATAATAAATATTATATTTTTTAACAAATTATTATATATACTTATTTTAAACACAGTCTTTAATAAAATCATTTTCTAACATTTTTTTTAATAAAAGAAAATGGATCAAATCAACGAAAACTTCCAAATTTGTTAGTCGATTATCTAATTTTCCATTTAACCCCACAGACAGTGAGACAGAGGTCAAAAAATTATTTGCCCCTTTTCATTATTATGTTTTAATATTTGGTGTCTCATCTTATTTCACCTCCCTGTCCTAACCCCAAACGCCACTGTCATTTTCTTACAATGCGCATCCATAAGAATCTCTGAGTTTCCCATCAAAATTCGGCCACACTCAATCTGGGCTCCCTTCATTACACCACAAAGTTTGCGACTTTGCGGGATTCGGATTGCGATTCTGCTGATGGGGAAGGTCGCGGTGGGAGCTGCGGTTGTTTGCGCCGCCGCCGTTTGTGCCGCGGCGGCGCTGGTGGTGCGCCACCGTATGATCAGTTCGAGGAAGTGGGCTCGCGCCATAGCCATACTGAAGGAGTTTGAGGAGAAGTGTGGGACCCCAATTGGGAAGCTTAGACAGGTGTGTGATGCCATGGATGTTGAGATGCATGCGGGTCTCGCATCTGAAGGTGGTAGCAAGCTCAATATGTTGATCAGTTATGTTGATAATCTCCCAACTGGGTCAGTAGATTTGTATTCTCTCTTTTTCTTTTCTCGTTGGTTAACTTCCTAATTTTATTATAAAAAAATGTGTTTTTTTTTTTTTTAAAATTAAAAAGAGAGAGATAATTGAAACACCCAAGGATTAGGATGTCCCGGATTTGTGGACTGTTTGTTTGTCCTGATCCCTGTAACGTTGATCTTGCTGTTTTTATTTGACATGTTTGATGAATCTCTATTTAACTTTTTTTTCCTGTATGTGTTGTTTATTTTGTGGTCTGATATGATGTAGTTGTCATCGGTTCAAAGTAAATTGGTTCAGTTGTAGTTGGCTTGTTTGTATTGTACCTTTTTGCCCCATTCTTAAACTGATTTATGTTTGTAATTCGGTCAATGTATCAATTGCCTTCATTGTGATCGTATTCTGGAATTGTTTTTTTTTTTTTTTTTGAAAGGAAAAAATGATTTGAGCTTCGTGTTCATTGCAATACCTGGTGATACTTAAAGCACGATTTGTTAGGTTTGATGGTTGACATTATCTCCTAGTGCTACATAATTTATATAATTAAAGTGGGAGGAATTTACTAGCAAACAATTCATGTAATAAAACTAAGCACTTGTTAATGGTTCAGTCCTACCGGATGATAATGGTTTATTCCTAAAGGATATTATTTTTTATGTATATATTATGTTGTGAAGAATCAGCAGTCCAGCTGCAAAGAGAGAAAGTATGTATGATTAAGTATTACATTGTATTCGCATTGATAACAAAAGTTCTATGAACTTATAACTCTTAAATATTTCTTCTTTAGAGTTATTCTTCATCTTCCATTATTTACAGCGATGAGGAGGGACTCTATTATGCACTGGATCTTGGTGGCACAAACTTCCGTGTCCTTCGTGTACATTTAGGTGGGAAAGAGAGAGGTGTTATCGGCCAGGAGTTTGATGAAGTTTCAATTCCTCCTCATTTGATGACTGGTTCTTCAGATGTAAGTGTGTTATGGGAAAATCTATCAGATTACTGAGGCGCTTAGTGCCTACAATTTGATATATATTCATTATGCTGTTGCAGGCATTATTTGATTTTATAGCAGCAGCTCTTGCAAAGTTTGTTGGCTCAGAACCTGAAGGTTTTCATCCTCCCCCTGGCAGACAAAGAGAACTGGGTTTTACATTCTCATTCCCAGTGAAGCAAACATCAATTGCATCTGGGACTCTAATAAAGTGGACTAAGGGTTTCAACATTGAAGATACAGTAATTCTTGTTACCTTGATTATGTTATATTCAACTTTATTTGTGTAGCCATTTGTTCTCCTTGTCATTTATCTCGACTATATACAAGTCTCTCTCTGTTTGATACACACAGTACCACACCATTGTTCTTATATTAAATTTTGTGAGTCCTGATATTACAATGTTTACCCCATTATGGATCAAAATTGTATCATTGCCATGTGATCTTTTTCAGTTTTCAGAGATAGAACTCTTTTCTACATGTTTTCTCCTTGTTTCTCAGCTATTATCTCACTGATCATGGTAATCTGACTGTTACTCCTTCATGGTTTGTTTGTAGGTCGGTGAAGATGTGGTGCGAGAACTAACCAAGTCCATGGAAAAAATTGGCCTTGATATGCGAGTTGCAGCTCTAGTCAGTCTCACTCTCCTCTCTTTAGGATTTCTTTATTTTTTATAGCCAGGATTTGAGCATGATGATTTCCAGTTTGTGTCTGACAGAATTTGGAGTTATAAGGTTTTATGGTGTCAGTTTTTATTTATTTATAGTTATTCTTGGTTGCTTAATATCTTTATGTGGAAATGCTAACTTGGTGATTTGATGTAGGTTAATGATACCATTGGAACATTAGCTGGAGGGAGATTCTACAATCAGGATGTCATTGCTGCTGTCATTCTTGGTACTGGGACAAATGCAGCATATGTAGAACGTGCACATGCTATTCCAAAATGGCACGGCCTTATACCAAAATCAGGAGAGATGGTAAGTAGGTTATGAATATTTGTGAAACCTAATATCTTGTGTGATAGAACTGTCTTTACTGTGATACTAAGGGGCTGGTGATGGTTAGCCAGTGGCAAAGCATGCTGATTACTTCTAAATATGATAGGTCATAAACATGGAGTGGGGTAATTTCCGATCATCACATCTTCCTCTAACAGAATATGATCAAGCTCTAGATGCTGACAGCTTAAACCCTGGAGAACAGGTAAAAATCATCTATTGTATTCATTTGTTTCAATGACCAATGTAACTTTGTAACATTCTTTCACTATTATTAACAGATTTTTGAGAAATTGATTTCTGGCATGTATTTGGGGGAAATTGTAAGGAGAGTTTTATTGAAGATGGCTGAAGAAGCTGACTTTTTTGGAGATACTGTTCCTCCCAAATTGAAAGTTCCTTTCATACTAAGGTAAGATAATTTATACCACAAAACAGCCACTTTTTTCTTGTCTTTCAGTGATACTTGTTTATGTTGCTCTCTGGCCTTTATTTGGAATTGTTTTATTCTTTGCATATCTACCTTGCCAATAATGATTCTGATACAATGCATGAAATACGCAGAAATCTGAGCAAAATAAGACGCATGCTTTACTCAGACTTCTTCTCATGGACAATTTTAGTGTCGTGTATTTAATTTTGATTGAGTATCGTTCCCTTCTTTTTCTTTTTCAAACTCATTTTTGAGGATTGCTTGATAATTGCTGTTGTTAATTGGTCACTACCTCCTTGCTTATATAAAATTAATATTTTTTATCATTATATATATGCACATGGGAGCTATTCGTGAAGTTTTAATATTAAAGCCAACAAAGGTTAAACTTTTCTCATTTATATATTGGAGCTTTAAAGTCAAGTTTGAGCTTGTTTGTTTATTAAAAAAAATGAGCTTGATTGAACATTTAATACATTGAACTTGAATAATTCACAAATAATTCAATTTAATTTACATCTCTAATGGAGGAAAGAAAGGTTTACTGTTTTTTATTCTGTGTAAGTAAATCATGGGGGAAATGGTGTGATTAAATATTTTCATCTTCGTTATTTATTCTAGGTAAAGCATGATGAATGAAACTGTTTTATACTGATAATATTATTCTCTTTGAAAATAAGCAATAATGGGAGGACCAGTAAGAACATATTCTTCTATTTTTTATTTTGGATTATCGGTGTTAATGTTCATCCAAAATTGGGGTGAAAGTTTTTGCAAAGAGTGGAATCCAAATGGTGGCCTCTTGTTTTCATTTGTTTCTTTGTATTCTCATACCAATAAACCATAAAAATGGTATTCATCGTTTTCATTTTTATTCCCTTATTTGTGCTGTGCTTATGCTACCTGTTTTGCCTTGTTGAGTTGTATAAATGTTCATTTCAACACTTTTTTTTTTTTTGTTGAATTAGCTCTTTCAGAGTTTTGACATCATTTTTATTAGGACACCTGACATGTCATCAATGCACCATGACACAACTTCAGATCTGAGAGTGGTTGGAATCAAATTGAAGGATATATTAGAGGTATGCTTGCTCTACTGACGGTGTAAATTGCTTTTCATCATCAATGCATCACGTCATCAATGCATGCTCTATTGAAGGATATAAGGTTTTTCATGTCTCACTTCATATAAATTGGGTTTTCTCAAATTAGATGCAAACTGTGGAAGGCTGGAAATTACAATGATAAACTAAACTACATATATTGTCTGTAATCTGTCGTTTAGAATAAAAGCATTCTGATTATGTTGAGGCTGTGATCTGTCATTTAAAATAAAAGCATTTTGATTATGTTAAATGCAATAAAAAATTGATGCGCCCCCAAAAGAAAAATTATATTGCTTCTCTAACTGCCTTCCATCTTGTCAGATCTCTAACACATCCCTAAAAATGAGGAAGATTGTTGTGGAACTCTGTGACATTGTTGCTACTCGTGGGGCTCGCCTTGCTGCTGCTGGTATTATGGGCATCCTCAAGAAAATAGGAAGAGACACAGTTAAGGTTGGGGAGAAGCAAAAGTCAGTGATAGCGTTGGATGGAGGATTGTTTGAACACTACACAGAATTCAGGGTTTGCTTGGAGAACACACTGAAGGAATTGCTGGGAGACGAGGCAGCTGACACCATTGTCATTGAGCATGCCAACGATGGCTCTGGCATTGGAGCAGCCCTCCTGGCAGCATCTCACTCCCAATATTTGGGAGTGGAGGAATCCTGAAGTTATTGCGGAGGTAAAGCCGTGTAATACTAGTTTCATTTTTTGCATAGGTAATAGATCAACAACACATTGAAGCAATGATGCCTTAGTTACTGGTCCTACAGACCATGTCCACCGTGGGGGTATCTACGAGGGCTGTCTTCTTTCTGCAACCTTGCAGCTCCTGTGCTGGTGACTGGGGCATTCATTATTTTGATTGCAGGGTTTGTTTCTCCAATGTTAAGGAATAATGTCAAGGATAAACTTAACTGTGAGTAGTCAACTTTTGCGGAATGTAGCCTGTTTTCAGCGGGAATAAATCAGGAGTTAATGTATTGACAAACAAGCCTAAAAGTTTTTTAATTCAAAGCTTTTATGAGTTATCAGTGAGGACTGAAGAGTTGTTGTTGACGATTGCATGCCTTACAAACCTTTATTTTGATTGTTCTGTCTGAAACACGACAAAGCTCGTTAATGTTAACTGTGATTACCTCTTCCAGAGCATTTTGGGCTACTTTTTTCTTTTCAGATGACTAGCATGGTTAACATATTTCACCATAGCGAGCTGTGTGAGAAGTAATGAAAATTGTCCTCTGCCATTGATGTTGGAAAACTAAAAATAAAATTTCAAATATATTTATGGTAGTTGCCACATTTGTAAGATACATCAATAAAATACCATGCGGTGGTAAGGACAGTTGTGTATTGTTCCTAAACGAAGGACGATCGTAAATGCACAATTGTTGACAGTTTCTATTTTATGAATAATTGCCGTACTAACGAAAAACTAAACTTTCCTGGAGTACGAATTATTGTACCAAGTCCTTAGCTACTTAAAGAGTAACTGGTTTTTATTACCATAAAAATAAAAGAAAAACCTTGTATGTGCAATTAAGTCGCAGTTAGAGCTTTGGTATTTATAATTTTTTGCAAAGATGTACGATTATTTTCTTAATTTGGAGCTGGAAAGAGATTACTAGACACTCAAGAGTGGGAGCATGTTTCATCGACACCTTAACATGGATAAAGTTAAAAACTAACAGTGCAAATTAAACAACTAAATTTTTATTACTCGATATCAAACATTAAAAAAACAGGGTGGATTGGATATGTAAAAATACATGATAGATCTCAATAGGAAATTGACCAAGACTTATCAGGGGTTAGAGGGAGCAAGAGAAACATTGTTGAGTCGCTCAAGAACCAAAAGAAGAGCCTGAGTGCCCAAGTTACCTTCACCGTGAGCCTTAAGCGACACATAAAGTTGTTGAGCAAGAGCCAACCCAGGCAAAGCAATACCCATATTCTCACACTCCTTCAAACAAATCCCCAAATCCTTAACAAAGTGGTTCACAAAAAACCCTGCTGCAAAATCCCTCTTCAGGATTCTCTTTCCGTACAAATCAAGCGACCTGGAACCGGCTGCACCGGTCGAAATCGCGTCCAAGTACAACTCCACGTCAAGCCCTGCCTTCTGCGCATACACCATCCCCTCCACCAACCCCACCATCGTAGAAGCTATCGTTATCTGATTCGCTAGCTTCGCGAATTGTCCCTTCCCACTCTCACCCATGTAGTTCACCTTCCCCATCTGAGAAAACAAGGGCTCCAGTCGCTTCATGGTCGCCTCGTCGCCGCCGCCGAAGATCGCTAGGGTTCCGTTCTTCGCGCCGCGGTCACCGCCGGAGACCGGGGCGTCGATTGATTGGCAGCCTTTGGCGGCTGCGGCGGCGGCGATTTCGACGGCGAGGGAGGGTTCCGACGTGGTCATGTCGACGAGGATGCCACCGGGACGGAGGCCGGCGAGAGCGCCGGAGGTTGGGTGGATGAGGACAGAGCGGACGTCGGAGGGGTAGCCGACGATGGAGAAAACGACGTCGGAGCGGGAGGCGACGGCCTGAGGGGAGGCGGCGAAGTGGGCCCCGAGGTCGATGAGGGGTTGGGCCTTGGAAGGGGTGCGGTTGAAGACCGTGAGAGTGTAGCCAGCCCGGATGAGGTGGGCGCACATGGACTGGCCCATGACGCCCGTGCCGATCCAGCCCACGCGAGTATTTGATGGGCTTATGGGCTCGGGGGTAGCCATGAAGCGCCGGACGAAGGAAGTGTTAGAGTGGCGGATACGGTGGTGGAGGGAGCGGAAACGAAGTAGCGGAGAGGGTTGTGGCATAGTCTCTCTTCTTTTGTTTGCCACATATATATTATTTTTTTCGTCCCCGATTATCCTGTTCTGCTGTTAACCTTAGTACAAAGGTTTTTGACCAAGGTGAAAGCTGAGAAGTATTATTTAAAATTAAAGTTTTTTAGATAATAATATCTATTCATTTTTACGGGAATTGTACTTGTAGAGTAAATTTTTAATTTTATAAATATAATATAAAACACATCAATATTGATCCATGTTACTTAAATTTTATCATTAGTAAATCAAAGTGAAGTTAAAATGAAAATGAGTAATGATGCGGGTCATTTTTTTAATTATGGTTATTTTAAAATCAAATTACAAGAATATTGTAAATTTGATAATGTTACCTGAATATGATTTTTTATAAAAATCACAACTAGCGTTTTATATGTCAGGTAAACAGAATTTCATGTTATCAAATGTAAAAATTGTAACTTACGAGTTACAAAAAGCAAAAGTATAATTATAAAAGTTGCAACATGTGATTTTTGACCAAATTAAATTAAAAAAATTATAAAATCACAAATAGTGATATTTAACCATGAAAGAAAGTAGAAATATTACTCTAAACTCGCCCACGACGACATTTGATCAAGGACAATAGTTTAAAAACAGTAAAAATCGCAACACAACTTGCGATTTTTAAGAAATGAGTCTATAAGTACGAAACTTTTTGTAGTCTTCGGCCATTTGTGGTTGCATACATATCTCTTTTTAGTTTCTGAGAATTTTGTGTTTTTGTATAAGGAAAAAATGAGTATTGTCATTGTTGTTTATTTCAATAGTGAGATTATACCAAATACGAGTGAAGGTGTAATTTTTACATGTGAGAAGCCAACGTGTATATATATTCCATACACCTATCATTTGAAGATTTAAAGTATTGGCTCGATCAATATATTGAAGTTTCACTTTCGAAAATAGTAGAAAGTGTTATGTAACGATGTTCAGTATTAATATTTAGCAGTTTTATGCAATATTATACAATTTCTATAACAAACAATGATAATATTCAACAAATGTTTTAGATACATGAGCAACGTCATCCTCCAAGTGATACCATTGAATTGTATGTTGTTTTCAAAAATAACGCTTGAAGAAGAATATGTAGGGACCATGCTACACACAGAGATAGAATGGGAACAGAACAATAGTGAAAGTGATGACAACGATTTTGAATGTGAACATGGAAGTGAGGAAAGCCATAAATATTCTGATGATGATGAAGAGGAGGAGGAGCCTCATCTGGTTGGTCTACATCCATATGGAGAGCCACCATTCATGCTTGATTTAGATGTTAATGCTATGACTATTTTTGAGTTTCCAGAGTATATAAATTTAGGTATGTGTATTTTATAAATATGTCAGTGAAATTAATTATAGTTTTGTTAATTAGTTTATGTTCGATATTGGTAGGTAACACTGAGATAGATGGTGAATTATATGTTAAAAGACAATTCAGTGACAAATAAGTTATTATTCAAACAGTAAAGCATTACAGTATATCCAAAGGAGTGAACTACAAAATATTCGAGTCAGAAACAAATACATTTTATTGCAAATGTGTAAGGTATGACTTAGATTGTAAGTGGCTTCTTCGAGCTAGTTTCAGTAAGAATGAGTATTTTTGAAAAATTCAAAAATATAACATTCCACACACTTGTACTTTTGGAATTATTTCTTAATATCATAGAAAGTTGAATACAAACACAATTGTAGAATATATCAAGCCAATAGTAGAATCTGATCCTTCTTTTAAAATTAAAGTAGTGATTGGAGAACTTCAGTCTTGATTTGGGTATAAAATAAGTTATCGAAAAGCGTAGTTGACAAAACAAAAGGTAATCGAAAAAGTATTTGGTGAGCGGAAAGCATCATTTGAAGCTTTGCCCCAATGGTGCGTAGCAATGGGTGATGTTGTTTCAGGTTTGGTTGTGAAATTAGATGCTGCATAGGCTTATCGCAATGATGAATTGAATCCCAATGTTCAAATATTTCGTCGAGTGTTTTGGAGTTTTGGTCCATGCATTAAAGCATTATGCCATTGCAAGTCAGTTGTGCAGGTTGATGGGACATATTTATATAGTAAATATAAAGGAGTTCTACTAGTTACTATTACACAAGATGGAAATCAGAATATACTGCCAATTGTATTTGCTATTGTTGAGGGTGAGACAGCAGATGCTTAGAGTTTTTTTTTTTTTGAAAATTTACAAAGATATGTTGTAACTAAAGATGATGTTGGCCTGATTTTTGATTCAATTATAGTAACAATAAGAAGAAATAATGGTCAGTAGAAACCTCTAAGAACATTCTACATGTATTGTATCAGGCACATAACTGCAAATTTATTGGGAAGATTCAAGGCTCATTACCTATTACAAATAATACAAAAAACTTTGATAAAAATAAACCTACATAATTACTATTCAACATGTTAATTATATAAAATGCAATAAATAATTTCTTGGGAATTTAATTTTATTAATTATTCAAATTACAATTTTAACAAAACTCAATCGACTAATTAGAGAAAATAATATTATTTTCAATCAAAAAATTCAACAATGTTGTTATAATTTATTTTAAATTAATTCTCTCTTATTTTTTTTATAATAAATTTTGCATGCAAGTTAGTAATTACCAAATAATTCATTTACAAATTATAATTGATATACAATTATATTCAATTACTACTTTATAATAGTTTTTACAAACATTACTAAATATACATTCAAAATATCGAAAAAAATAATAAATAAAATAAAAAATTACAGAATATCTACAAATTATACATATTAAATAAATAAAATAAAATAAAATAATACAAACTTGCATTTTGATTTTGAATTTGTTCTAAAATATGCTTCCTTGAATCAATTGTTGAGTCCCTGACCATTTTTTTCTTAAATTCTAACTCATGAATATAAAAAAATTTTGTCAATTTTTTGAAAATTTTCTTTTTTTTTAAAATACTCTCTCTCTTGTCCTACTTCTTCTTCTTCTCCAGAATGCTTCTTCTTCACTTAAAAAATACTCTCTCGCGCATGCAACAAGAATTAGACCTGATATATATAGGCAAAAAAAAATGCATAGAAATTTTAGAATTTTCCCCTCAATAGTTATTCTGCATGCTTGAATAGTGTTCAAAACTCGCAAATTGCAAGTTTACAGGTTTCAGACCTGTTCCTGCCACTTCCTGCATGCATGCCAAGAGGTCAAAACTCGCAAGTCATGAGTTTGCCTTAATTCAGGTTCTAAACGACGCGATATCACTTGTAGCAGCCGGACAACGTGATAAAAAATCATCATATGCGATTTTCTAGTAAATTTTGATCCAATTTTGACAAATTTAATATTCTACCATGCTAAAAACCACAAATAGCGCTTTTATAACAATACATGCCATTTTCTTTATAATTTTGATCCACTGCTATTTTACTATTCACATTAAATTGTTATTTACATTTTTTGGAAAACTATATTATTATAAATATACTAAATAAGTCATATTTCTATATTTTATCTTACTGAATCTAATATTAAAATAACTTTTCTTAATGAGGCTCTTATAATAAAATTTTATAAAAGTTTTTCTAGTTGAAAAGAAGAGAGAGAGAGAGAAATTATCAATAAAATAAACGATGTAATAAAAAAATTACATGTATATAATTATTCAATAAAAAGTACTATTTTGACCTTGTGATGAACGCAATAATATATTCTGATTTTTTTTCTACAATATGTAAATCTTGAAGGAATACAGTGTTAAAAAATTCCATGTCAAACACTTTTATTATAATGGAATAGAACTAACCTTTAGCATAATAATTTTTAACAATTTGTGAATAATTTGTACATCGGATTGTTTTGTTGCATTGATAGCTGTAGAGTCATCACCGCAAATCCATAATGTTAAAATTATCATTAAAGGCCCCAAAAACAAAAAATATTATCAGAATCCGATAACAAACCGCTGTTGTGTCTGAAAGATGCCCTAATTTCACAATTCAATTCAATGGAAAGAGGATAAGGTATTTTACGGTAGTTCTCAAACTCGCTTATTCCCAGTTCACGTGGTTGTTTCTTCCTTAATCCATTTTATCAAAATTTGAAATTTCGGAGTTCTCTACTGCCTCAATGTACACCAATATCTCCAAAGCCCACGCATTTCCTCTGGCCGCTAAAATCTCTTCGCAACCTAGATGCTTCAACTCAATCCCCACCCTAAAAAACCAATCTTTACCATTTTCTTTTTGTCAAAAACGCATTTTAAAGAACCCCACTTCACTCTGGGCCAGGTATAAATTTGGAACATCGGAAATTGGAAAATTAGCAAGTCCACGAGGGTTGATGCTACAAATTGCTAGGAGATACTGCAGTCACAGAAGTGCTGAGAAGCGAAATCCTTGGTTAGTTGTAGCTAACGAATTCGAGGAAAGAAAGGTGGTGGAAAAAGCGAAGACGACTAAGATTGGTAGCTTTACTAAGAGGGTGAATGGTAAGTCCTCTTGGGAACAATCCATTGAAAGGTTAGAGAAAGCAACAGTTCCAGAATATAAGTTGGGACCATCATCAGCTTCAACATTTTCTATGAAAGGTGGTGTTTCAGCTGCTGCAAGTGAGGAAAAGAAGAGTGGATCCGTTGAGAAAGTGAGAGAGAATAGAAGTGATTATGGTAGCAGGTATGGGAAGTTTGATGGTGGTGGTGATGATGAAGAAGAAGGAGTTGTTGATGATGAAATGGAGGAGGGTGTTGATGATCCAAGGTGGGATAACATAAAGAATAGGGTCAAGGGGATGGTGGGGGCAAAAGTTGGATTTGAAAGACCTGAGTTTCGAAGATGGAGTAAGCAGGAAAATTGGGGTAGAAAGACATGGAAAGAGGCCACTGAATCCACTGTTCCCAGGATTGTTGGAGAGGGAATCTATGGGGTTGGTCCAGTTTTGGCTGCTTTGTCTGCGGGTCGAAGGGAATTCTTCGCATTGTATGTGCAAGAGGGATTGGATTTTAGTAGCAACAATAGGAAGAAGAAGGACAAGAAAGGGTTTGAGAAGGTTCTAAAGATTGCTGAAAAGCTTGGCTTGACTATAAAAGAAGCATCAAAACATGATCTGAATATGGTGGCTGATAACCGTCCCCATCAGGGTTTGGTTTTAGATGTTTCGCCACTAGAGATGGTGAAAATAAAGGAACTGGACCCTGTTTCTGTTGAGGAAGGGCAGGGTTCCCTTTGGGTAGCCTTGGATGAGGTTACCGATCCTCAGAATTTGGGGGCAATAATTAGGTCTGCATACTTTTTTGGAGCTTCTGGAGTGGTGTTATGTGCCAAGAATTCAGCCCCATTGAGTGGTGTTGTGAGCAAAGCAAGTGCGGGCTCGCTTGAATTAATGGAACTTAGATATTGCAAGAATATGATGCAATTCTTAGTGTCTTCAGCTGAAAATGGTTGGCGAGTTCTTGGAGGCTCTGTCTCCTCCAAAGCTATTTCTTTGAACGAGGTTGTGCCTGGTCCTCCAACTATTCTTGTTTTGGGCAGTGAGGGCACTGGTTTGAGGCCACTGGTGGAGAGATCATGTACTCAGTTAGTTAGGATTCATGGCAACATTCCTTTGGACCTAAGTAATAGTGAATTGGACAGTGAAAGTAGTGGTTTAAATTGTGAGAGCTCTGGCAAAGAGTTCTTGTCATTTTTGGCTGTGGAAAGCTTAAATGTTAGTGTTGCGGCAGGTGTGCTTCTTCACCACTTGATTGGCAAAATGTTAGTAGATTCATTGCCAGAGGAGCATAAACATGTTGACATGTCTGAGTGAGACTGCAATGCCTCCATTTATTAAGTCTGCACTCACTTAATGTCCATTGATGGAGTGCTGTTTTATTTTTTTAATACGTTGTAGTTTCTCCTTATCATTTGATCACAATCATATTTACAATCATGTTGGCAAGTTAGTCTGTCCAGCACTGGAGTCAATTCACAATTTTGACTGCAATTTTAATTGAGGACTAAATATATGCGACACCATTATTCAAATCAAAGAGAATTGATCACTTAAATTGAGAGTTGAGGCTTCTTGTAGTTATCACATTGAACTTGTCTCAGTTTATGGATTTATATTATTTTTAACTTGCTTTGTATTGCTTTAAGTTTCAGATGTGATTTTTTCATTATAACTCGGTTTTATAACTTTTGAAAATCGAAAATAATCATTGCTTTTTATTGTTATAGTTTTTTGGTGGTTACCTGTTACTGTGTCTATGCACTGAAGTTTATGCGATGCTTGTTTCTTGTCCTGAATTTTGTCCATTGCTTCGATACAACATGGAATTGATGTCTACTTATTATCCTAAGTCCTAACTATGCTTTGGCTGAATCCCTATGACTCCATGTCAACTGACTACATGTAACGGGTTCTAATTGCATTCTGTTTGTTCAGCTTGTGTTCATCAAATATACATTAGCCGTCTTATTTCTGCTTCAAGTTTGAAGCTCTGAAGGACTAGTACTTAAGACATGTTATTACTTTCTACTTTCTGCTTCGGGTGCATTCTTCATAATGTTTAAAAAATGTACCCCTCTCATTCTTTATTGAATGCTGTAAAATACGGTGATGGTCAGTAAAAGTGACTTACAGATTAAAGTTTCAGACATGCTCACACCCCCTACATGCCTCACCATTCCTAGTGGTTCCTGAGCTCAGTCCACCACTAATCAGAGCATGCGGCTTCAAGGTTATGTTGTGTGTTATTGGTGAATGGGGAGGTATCTCAATATGGTGGTTGATGACTATAACCATGCAGTTGCAGTTCCAGTAGATCAAACTTTAGAATACACATTTTCCCTTGCATCTCAAGGTTCTGCAAGTGATGAACAGTTGTATAAATTACCTGATAAAATTTCCATGATTAGGGAAATGGTTGATTCAGAATTCTCTACAGAAGATACATAATTTCGTTTTTTCTTGAAAAAAATTTATGCACCCCATATTTCATTGTTGATTCATCACTCTTGCAAGCAGTGTATGATTGGAAACATTCTTGCACACTCTTCTGTTTACTATTACATCTGACAAATTAATCATAGTGAATCTTGATATTCTGTGTGATCTGAAGATGGTGTATTTCTGTATTTGTACACTACAAGTCTACAACCAATAGTTAATTGATTCATTGCATGCTCCCTTCCAAGAATTGTAAGACGGTCTCCTGTTTTGTGTTAAATTTGAGAAATTCATCATTTATAATAATGTTGATTGGTGGTATTTTGGAAAGACAACATTTAAGATATAGGAATGGTAACATAAATATGATTGAAACATTACCAATTTTCATTCGTGAATATCTTCTGCATGTCTTGAGCAGGGCCATTTAGTATTACCACCAAGCTGAGTTTACACTTCGTAAACATTAAGCTTCTGCTCCATCAAGATGAGGGACCGGTTTTTTGTTGCTTCTGGTTGTTGCTTACCTGTCAGCAGCTATGGCCATTTAGTTATACCATTTCTTATGATTGTTTCATGTTACAAAAATGTTGATATTGTTTGTCAACCAAAATTTTGGTCATATTCCTTGATTGGGAGAGATTTGGGGGTGTTTGTGTACGCAATATTGTGCAAGCTTATAAAACATGGTGGCAGTTGATCAAAACCAAAAGAAATACACGTGCATGCACGCACACGCATGCCAGAAAAATCTTTAGGGGATAAGATGATAGACAGCAGGGACAAGATAACGACATTCCCTGTTCAATTGCCTCATTATTCAATAATATGGACAGAGGAGCAACACAGTGGAAAAGTACCCTCCTAATACGGATGTTTTGTTTCTTTCCAGAGTGTATGCTTTCTTTGCTCCCCATTAATTTCATTTGGCCCTGATATTTCTGTAGTTTCATGATCATAATTTGCAGTTACAAGTGTTCAATGAATATGGAAGTGAAGCAAGTTTTCTGTAATTCTTTTACAACATTTTACTTTTAAAAGTTGAGGCGAATGCCTCTTAACCTGTCACAATCCCACCAGAAGGTAGGAAAAAATCATTGTTTCTAGTAATACCATTGAGGTCTGATTGTTGCTGAGTTAGCAAAAATCTGTCAGTGTATTTACAATATATAAAATCTAAAATTGCAACTTGTAGTACTGATATTTCAGCGTCTCAATGTTAGTATTTTATCCTTTGATTTTATCTCCCATCTAATATATTTCTTTTTAACTTCAATCATAATAATTCAATTTTCAAGTGAACGAGTGTTTAGTCCTTAATTCTTTAAAAGTAACTCAAGTAAATAAGCATAAATACATAAATAATAAATTGTCAACAACTCATTTTTTCCTTCTTTCCACATTTTGGGTAAAATCATCTGCAATCTACATCTAAATTAGATAATCTCAGCCAAATCACTATTTAATGGAGAATATGTTGTGAAAATCTTACCGCTCTGACTTAATATTACTACCTGTTAATGAGATAAATATTTTGCATGGAGAGTTTTGTTTTAGTTATATAAGAATAGTACTTTCTTTTCCTTATAAAAAATAATTTCAAACATCTGGGCAAGGTGTTGGTTTATGCCAAGTTATTTATAATGTCAAGAAAAGAAGGGTAGGTTAGAATTTTTTTCTTAATCATAAGTTGCAAATCACGCCATAGAAAATGTTGGCAATAAATTGCAATGGGCCACACGATGAGTGGTATTCCATTAGAACATGGAAAGCAATAGCTGGCAATACACCAATACCATGTGAATAAGGTGGGGGCAGTTTACACATGGAAAGAAACAGCATCTCTTACTGATCCATCCTTCATCTCCCTTCAAGCTTACACAAACGATCAGTGTTAAGGCTTCAGTTGTGTGTCCCTCTGATCAATGCTTCGTTTATCATATTTAACATTGGACAAAAAGCTACCATTTCATTCTAATAATCAATGCTGCATTGTTTCAGTTGTAATCTTCGATTTTTTTTCTCTCCATTGATTTTTGAATAGAAGCATGCTTCACGGATTCCCACCAGTGCATTCTTGGAACCAATTAGGAGATTTGATCTCTTTTTTTTTTTTTTTTTTTCTAGTTTCAATATTAAATTCCGTAATTGAGGGAAACTGTAACCATTTGTCTTTTTAAAGAACTTTATGATTATGCGCTGAACGTGTATGTATACACACACCAATGACATCTAGTTACAGTAGCAACTTTGTATCTTCTCTGGACTATACAAAGGTAGTGTGAAATAGTTATCAACTTTTTTTATATATAATAAAATAGATAGCAACTTTACAAGCTATTACCCGCTAAATTATAAAGTTGCATGTAAGTAATAATAACTGAAAAGTGATAAAGCGAAGGGTGTTATTATTGATTAATTTTTGTCGCAGTTGAATGTCTCTGAAAAGTGACATTGGAAAAAAGATTCGGATCCTAAGAAAGGCACCTTCCTTCTTTATTCCTTTCTTTCGTTCTTAGGTGACTCCGAATAAGCACGTGACAGCTTGCATGCTGCCATTCTCTCCAACCTATCAATAACCACCAATCCAACGGTCTGTTCCTTCCTCATCGTTATTTTTACTTTCCTAAACACCAAATTTTTAAATTAAAAAACATCTCCAATTTTTAATACTAAACAGCAACAACTTATATAAAACAGAAATATTATTTTTCATCAGAAAATATCTTATCAAGAAAGTCAAAATAATTGGTTTTAATCAAAATTAGAAAGGATGTTTCAAAGAATATTCCTATTAAATGCTTCCATTACGTTTTGTAACTCAAATCTTGTTAAAAAAATATCATCCCAGGTTTAAATTTGTTTATAATATGATTAAATTTTGAGTTTTTATTTTATTGTTTATTTTTAAATATCATACATTACTCTTCATAATCTTTTATTGTGCTTTTTAATCTAATTTATTAAGTATCATTTTTTATAATTTTTTATTCCTCAAATATTAATATTGTTCATTTAATTCTTATTAATTTTTATATATACTATAAAATTGAGTATTCATTTCAAAATAAAATCATTTTATAAATTATTCGTTTTCCCTTAAATTACGTAACTTCACATGATATAGAATTGTACTTTTTTTTATTTCCTTTAAATAATACCACACAATTTAAATTTTATTTTATTTAAACTGTGATAGAATATATCAAATTAAATATATATTTTTAATTTAAATTAAAATTTAATATTATTGTAGTCTTCATTTTCATCATTTCGAAATTAAATCTTATTTTTAAATTTAATACATATATTAATAACTGTGGCATTTTGCTATTGAATTAATTATTTAATAATTTTTCTTAAATTTTAAATTTTTATCTAATATAATAAAATATGTACTATTAATAATAAAAATTTTATTATTTAAATAAATTTATTGAATTTAAATTTATTTTCATAATACACAATAATTTTTTTAATTTTTTAAAATGTTACTATAATAATTAGAAGAGTCAATGAAGAAATTGATTATATTAAAAGAAAAGAAAATAAGCAAAAATGATACTTAAGGACAGAATAAGTAGAAAATTAATAAAACACATAAAAGGAAATTTGTTTATAAAAAGTAAATTTAAATTTCTTAAAAGTAAAAAAAATTGTAATATTTAGAAAAAGTAAAAAAAAAAAAAAAGATCGATAGTATTCTTATCCTAGATATATCGGATTGGTTTGAATAAAAGAAATATTTGAACGTCTTGACGCCATATTGAATTTAAAAATAAAAGGAATACTAAATTACGTAATGTTCCTTCGTTTTAAATTAAAATTGAGCTATCGTTCAGAGTTACCTTCTCTGAGCTGTTGTTTTCTCTCTCTTCCCACCTTCTGTTTCTCTCTCAATGCTGCCCATGTCCGTCTAAGCTAGAGAGAGAGAGAAAGGGAGAGAGGGAGATACGTTTCAGTTGAGATAGCGAAGGAAAGTGTAGAGAGAGAGAGATCACAGAGGCACACCGCAATGTTTTCTTTGGATTTGTTACTCTTTTCTCTCAGCAGCTTCTGTTGTAGTCCCATCGCCGTTTTCATTCAGATCCAGGTTTCAAACACTTTTCTCTTTATTACCCTTCTCTGTCAATTTAAACTCTTCATTTTTTGGGGGCAATTTCGTCCGAATTGTTCAACTAAATCAGTGCAGCTCCTCGTGTTTCTTTTTCCCCTTTAATCCCAACTATTAACTCAGTTATTGTTCGATTC